AAAGATTGTAATGAGGTCACATGACTTGAACTCAATTAGAGTCATCAAACCTTGCCTTGATATAGGAAATGAATCACTAAACCATTTGTCAGTCATGGAACTTGGCTTAAAAATTGAGTTGAAGTGCCCAATTTTTCTTCTTCTTCTTCTTTTTTTTTTTTTTTTTTTTGTATTGGCCCGTAGGCAGGATTACAAACTATTCACGCCAACTCCACTTAAAAAGCCTCTAAAATAAGTCTAATACACGAAGTCGTCTGTTGCCACTGCTTTGGCACTGCGAGATATAAAGCTTCCTGGGCTAAACGATGTGCTACCTTGTTCCCCAAACGTTGGATATAACTTATTTCAATCTCTTCAAATTGAAGGAATGCCCTGCAATTGGCGATTATGGATCTAATGCGCCAAGAAAGAAAGTGATGAAAAAACCTGTGACAGGCAAAGATCAAAATTTCGTTACGCATCAGCCCGTATTGACCGATTCCAATCATATCGGGCCCTTCCCGATACACCCCTACAGGGGTTATATCGGGTCAAGCCATGATTCAAAAGGTAGCCAAAACTTAAACCGATCCCTCTGAACTGGTTTTGAAAAAAATAAATAAAAACATAAAAAAACACCGATACAGGCCGATGCGTCCTCCAATTTAGAACCTTGGTCACAGGGACTGTTACCTGTAACGAATCTCCTTCAAGGATAACTCTCTGAAGCCGAAAATGAGCTGTTAATTGTAAACCGTGCAAGAAAGCCAATGCTCCGGCTTGCAGTGGGAAAATTGCTCCTATCGGAGTTGCACCAGCAGCCACAAACTCTCCATTGGAATCTCTTACCGTGGTCCCGACTCCTCCCTTGTTGATGCTGAAACTTCCATCCACATTAACTTTAAAAGCTCATGGGGGTCGTGACCACGAGGGTTTCCACTGTTGTAAGACAATTGCAGATTTGTTTCTATAAAGATTCTTTACTAACCTCCATTACCCGAAGGAAAAGGCTTAACTGCACGAACCTATCCATTTCAGATTCAGTCATTGAGTTATTTTGTGGCTGGTGCATATCCATTAGAGAGAGTTCATTCTCTTTCCAAGCATCACCATAGACAGATGGCTAAATATCAACTTGAAGAAGTGAAGATTCATTTAACATTTGGAATCTTTTGTGTCCTTTCTACCTACTGCAGATTTTACACTACTTGAGCTATGTTTCTACCAAAAAAATAAAAAGATATAAAATGGCTATGGTTGGTTTCATAGAAAATAAGGAAGAAAGTAGAGAGGAAGTTCTTAACAGATTTTGTAAAAATCCCTTGGGAATTTTTCTTCAGCTTTCTGTTCCTCTTATTTTCCATCAAATCACACAACCTTAGGGCTACAAGTTCAAAAGAAAACATGTTAGTTAGGCAAACAAGCCTTACCTGCATTCTCCTTCATAGCTTCAAGGAACAAGAAACCACAGATGGGATCAACTTGGACAGGGCTTCAATTAGTCTTACACCAACAAAATTGGAAGGACTTAGGGTTTTCCTTCTGCTTTGGAGGAAGAATAAGATCTTGAGGTCTTAGTAAATGTGTAACAACACTTACAAAGGGTTACACTTCTAAGATATAAAAGCGCCAATTAAACATGCATTTTCACAGATTTTCCCAATTTAAAGGGGAAAAGAGCAATTGACGGTTACAAGCATCCCTTAAACTTGAAGATGAAACTTGCCATTAAACACAACACACTTCAACTGGTTTTCCAAGTTATACGACACCATTTTTTACAGGTTTTCTGCATTCAAAGAAAAAGGGCAAAATAAAAACGATTTCCATTGTGCAATCAGACTTCACCTAGTTTGCATCCAGGGTTTTACCATCCCTTGAAGAAGAGACTCGTTATCACCAGCTTTACCATTGCACTAGAACCAGAAACGACTACCATTGCACTAGAACCAAAACCAGCTTTACCATTGCACTAGAACCAGCTTTATCACCAGCTTTACCATTGCACTTAAATCGTTATCACCAGCTTTACCATCCACGATTACCATTGCACTAGAACCAAAACCAATCAACACCTAAACATAAACAGAAGCATCACATGCATTATAACATCTAAAACAAACATTTCTTCTTTATTCTTTTCTTTTTTTATTTGTTCTTTTTTTTTTCTTTTCATTGCTTTGGAGGGGGTGGTACAACATGTAGCATATTAGCAAAGTTCATTGTGAGAGGAACCACTATAACATGGAAACTACATTGAAACATGCATACACATTTGGCAAAGGATCCCATTTCAATCTACTTGTGCTAGCAGGAGAACATATTAAACATAGAATACTACCACAAAATATGGGCCTATATGCAAAAAATCATGTAGCACTATCAAAGGATCTTTGAATTGAACCTTTTAGTGGTTGGAAGGAAAATATCATATATCTAGTAAATGCTACAGAGCATGGAAACTAAAATACTGACAGAACAATATTACAAAAGGATCCTCTTTCAATCTTCCCTTGGTTCCAAATAAAGAACAGGGTCAACCAAAATTACCGCATTAGGTGGCAGTTGAGATGAGTTAAAGGTCAAGGCAATGCCACTGAAAGGAACAAATGAAACACATTCCAGTAAAACTATGCAATTTAAGTAATGAAATCATGTGCAATTAATAATACACAAACCTCAAGTATTGCATAAAGCCTGAGCATCACAAGTCAGAAGGCCCATCAAGTCTTGACAATAATTAACCAAGGTGAACACCCTTAGGTTCTAAACCCAAGTCTGGCACCCAATTATTGCCCACACCCTCAGCTTCTTCTGTCTATCATAGGATATGTCCTATAAGCTCTTCTAGTCTGCAGATGCTCACAGGAACTAAGACTGTAAATACCCCTCCACAAACCCCAAGGATCCTACAAACTTTTATGCACCCTCCAAGGAAGATAATGGGCCTCAATCACAAGGGGAAGACCCTGTGGAGCTCAATTCCTTATGTGGTCAACTGGAACATCTGAAAGGAAAGGAACCTTGTAAACTTTGCTAACAAAAGGAGGTTCTGAGGATGATCTGATGCTTCAGGCATTGGTCACTCTTCCCTCATGATTATCATCCAATGAAATGTACAGAAAAATCCCTCATCACCTGTTTTCTGAGTGTAGTATGCTTTTTGGTTGCTGCACTTATTAGCTGCTAAATATGGATTTTGTTTTCAGTTACATGGAATGCCCCTTGGTTTTGATAGCCCTCCTAGTAAGATGTGGTTCCTTGTTGTACATGATCTAAACATGTAAACCTCAGCTTTCACAGTTAAGTAAATACAATATATTACCTTTTTTCTCATATATATATTTAATCAACAGACCAACCCCCTACCCCAAGCCATGAGCCACAAACCCATTCCCATGACACTTTCATTCTTTTTTTTTTTTTTTTTGATAATTGCATGAAACCATCATTCATCATTCTTTTCTTTTTTTTCGTTTATTTTGGTAGAAAAACCTTCATCATTCTGATGAACTAAGTAACAAATGCCTCAGATGGACTACAAGCCTTAGCACTTTCTGGAAACCCCTCCCTCCACCAAGAAACAACAATTAAAGTCATATCCTCATGCAAGCATCCAACTCATCTTTACCTTCCTCGGCTCATCTCCCGGTCTCCACCACTTGTTTGAAAATCAATGGAGAAAGAGACCCCTTCCCTTTCGCATATATACTTGAAAGCTGAATCTCTTTAAGATACACATCTAACCCCAATAGAAAGATAAATTCCTTTGCAAGTCCCTATCCTGTGAAAGGGGATGGGCCTCTAACAACTTTTAATATGGCCCAGGCTAAGGAGACTACTGTAGTTCTTGCTTCAACCATAACAGTAACCCCCAACTTAAAGCACCAAGCTTGACTAATGAACCCAACCCACAAACCTCATGCCAATGCTCCAACCATACCACAACATATTACAAGTTCTTGACATATTTGGAATTAAAAGCATCAAAATTCAGACTATTACCATCTAAAATTTGGGCTCCTTATTTAAAATTTGAATGGGAGAGACTTATCAGTCTTGTCTAACATCCCACAAACTTCCCAATTGGAATCTGGAGCACCTCAAGTTAAGAATCCAGTAATGCTTTTATCTTTCCAACATTTCATTTTTTTATTTGATGAATTTCAACTTTTCAAATTGTATAATCAAAAGCCTCAAACCAGTGTGCAAACTAGAACATGTCTATTTCTTCAATCTAACCAAGAATGATGAATACCAATAATGCCAAGTAGATCAATAACCTTCCAAAACCTCTTGTCTCTTACCAAAGATGTGGGGGATAAAATGGAGGTCGAACTGTGATGACATGGCATATATGTATATACACTGTAGGTCGTATAAATACTATATATAACATATTTTACAAATTATATTATGTTCAAATGTGCTGGATTGGCATGTTTCTTAATTTTCAAAGCAAATGACCAGGGTTCAAACCCCTTAACTCACATTTTCTTTAAAATATGTGTAATAAAGTAATATATACAATAAAGTCATTAACCAACACAAATAAAAGAGTAGATTAATAGAAATTGAGCAATACACATAAATATGAGGTCATGGGTTCAAGTCTTGCTATGCCATTTGTTACATTTCAACTCAATTAGTGATCTAGGCGGTTTTATGAAACCGGAACCTGTTCTCTGGTTCTCCGGTTTAACCGGACAGTCAGCTGGTTTTATCAAGTCCAGTTTCTGAGGTATGGCCAAACCGACTAATGCTCCTGGTCATGGTTTAACTGGTCTGACCAATGGGTCCAGTCTGATTTCTTAAACGCAGTTATAAACTTGTCAAAAAATTAAGTTAGATACAGAAAAAACTTAAATACATAATTTATCATATTTCAATCCCTATGCACCATATATGTAATTTATAGTTAATACAAAAGAGTTTGCCACAGGTATACTAGACGCCTAAGAAGATATAATCAAGGTTGACTTAACTACTCCACAATTCCACATACAATTGGCACACTTTAACCTAAATATAATGGCAAATAAACTTACTATGATTTCTAAATAGATCCTAGATAACCTAAATAAATCATATTTTTTTATGAAGTGTTTCGAAACAAATAATACTAGAAAAAACATTAGAAAAAACAAAGAAATGGCAAAGTCAAGAACTAGGTCTTAATTGAATTTATGTGAATCACATGAATTTATTAATCATAAGGCTCATGAACAAATCATAGGTGACTCGAATAGTAGTCGTAAGATTTTTGCCAAAAAGAAGGGTTCATAGATAAAATTCAAATAAAAAGGAAAACCCTAAGGATTCATAATTCTAATCATGAACAAAAAGATCTTGACAACTATTACCCAAATGCACAAGGAACATCACCCCCAAATCTCATCCAACCTATCAATTGTAAACCCCCCCCCCCTCCAATGCCTACTCAATCCAATCTCAAGGAGGATCACAATCTCAATCCAGTCTATCGTCATCCATGAGATTCTGTCCTTAATGAGTTCCTATTGTGTTGGTGGTTTGAGTTGCGACTTGTAACCCACTCCATGGCCAACATGAATCAAGTTGAGAAAACCCGAAAGGAAAATTTCGCAGCCCACCACTGACCACCACCGGGAGTGCAGGGGTAGAGCCCCTGTGGTACAGATCTGCATCAACGGGAGCGCAGGGGTAGAGCCCCTGTGGTACAGATCTGCATCAATAATGGAATCAACTCAAATATGGACTCTAGAGAGTTGTTTCTTGGAAACAGCCCAATAACTTGTGCAGGAAGCTGTCTTGTATCTTGAGCAGTAGGAAAAAGAGAGCACAAGAGTGTATGAGATACAGTGAGAGAGAGGGTATTTCAGGTGTATTGGGGAGCAAGGGTTTGGTGAGGGAGGTTGTATACACTACAACTGTAATCTCTGCTACTGTTAAGAAACAGCCCAATATCTTGCATCGGAAGCTATCTTCTATCTTTTTTTTATCATTGAATAGTAAGATTTATTAAATCATAGCCAAAGAGAGTACAATTCAGGGAGAGGCACGAGAAGCTACCTCCCCTTTAAGGAGATGGAGGATTCCATCGACCCTTTAGTTGAAACACAGATGACAGAACAAAGGACAAAGAAATTGCAGAGAAGCCCAATACAAAGTAACCCGATTAGCCCCTTGTTTAACAAGATAATCAGCCAAGGCATTTGCCAATATACCCACCCACTGAAACCTAACTGTCATATTCCTCGTGAGCCATTTAACCTTTTTTAAAACATCCTTAAATCCCCAAGTGACAGTACCCAGGTTAGCCAACCATCCTACTACCACCTTGGAATCTCCTTCAATGATTAAGTTCTGCACTCCAAGTTGATATGCAATCTGTATCCCCTGTACCACAGTTAGGAGTTCAGCCCTCATAGAGTCTCCTATTCCCATGGTCCTGAGAAAAGAGAGAATATTGCTGTCAGCGTTTCTCAATACACCACCAATGCCAGATAGTCCTGGATTGCCCTGACTACTCCCATCAAAAATCAGCTTAACAAAACCCTCCATAGGCGGAGTCCAAGTTGCTTGAATTCTTGGCTTCTTAAAAGAAGTAAAGGCAACTGCAAACCAATTCCTCCTTATATCATCAAAGGAGTAATTTTCAAAGAGTTTTAAGGATTTCAGCCACAGAATAGCCCTTGTCAAAATACACTCCTTGACCTCAAGAATGGTTCTTTCCTTCTCCTAAAATATTCTGGCATTCCTTTCTTCCCAAATAGTCCAAAGGAGAGCTGATTTTATACATTTTAAGTTTTAACATAACTCTCTCTCTTTTCGTGGGCCACACAAAGGTAGATGGAGAAAACAACAAATTTACCTCAGCTGGCAAGTTCCACCTGCACCCAAACAGATCAAATAGCCAATTCTAAATAGCTGCAGCAAAAGAACAGGAAATCAATAAATGGTAACAGTCCTCATTCTGCACTTTGCACAGGGTACACCAATTAGGGGATAATCACAAGGTCTTTTCTTCTGCAGGTTATCCAGCATGTTGATTTTACCATAGTAAACTTTCCAACAAAAGACAGCTAATTTTGGGGGAAGCTACCTTCTATCTTGAGCAGCAGGAAAAGAGAGAGCATGAGAGAGTATGATATATAGTGAGACGGGATATTTCAGGACCTCAGGTGTATAGGGGAGCAAGGGTTTGGTGAGAAAGGATGTATACACTACAACCGTAATCTCTCCTACTGTTTTTTTCTTTTGATAAATACTCTCCTATTGTTCTATAGTGGATTTCTTTGTCCTCTAATGCTTGTGGACGTAGGCTACAAGCCAAACCACATAAATCTGTGTTCTTTTAGCTCCCTGTTTCTTCTTGTTTTCTTCCATTTTTTCTCCATTTGCCAATCGTTTTTAGTAATTCTAGGCTACACTTTGTGAATCTGTATTTCTGGGCTTCACTGCTTGAATACTCACAATATTGTTGGGCTTTGCATCCCTATGAATCTTTCTTTGCAATAGGGCTGTGATCCGGAGTTACAAGATACCTGTGATTCCATTATTACACTTCAGAATTGCAGTTGGAACTTGCACCTAAAGTGAGAATCACAGCGGGGAATCGTGCCCGTAGTGGGATTCACACCACAGTTCCCATCTCCAAAAGGTCCATATAAAGATGAACTGATTTGTCTATTATGGTCTCTAATCAAACCACAAACCTCCAATCATGTTTTCCACCAGGCAACTATAACTGTCTTGAATACATTTAGTAAAGATATGGAATAGGGATCTCTCCCCAAATTAATGGCACAACCTCCAACAACCTACAAAAAGGTCAAATATCCAACTCATCGCAGCCTGGGAGTCTCCCCCTATTGTTATGTTTGATTTCTTGGAGAATAAGTTTGAAAGTGAAAGTTGCATGAAAATCCTAAAATACCTAAAGGATTTCACACAATTTTCCCTAGTAAGCAGGTGTGGAATCCAACTAGCCCCTCCAAGGCTAACTTTCTTGTCTGGGTGTGGGCTTTAAATAAGTGTCTTTCAAGAGTTAATCTGATTAGGCGTGGAGTCCAGATTTCAGATTTGAATTGTGGCCTATGTGGATTGTTGCCTGAGTCTGCGGATCATCTCAGCATTCAGTGTCCTGTGTCTGCTAAATCTTGGGAGCAATTCATCAAGGCGGCTTGCATTAACTGGGTCATGCCTGGGTCTGTCAAGGATGTTTTGTGCTGTTGGAAGTTGTCTGGTCTGAGAAAGAAAGGGAAGCTGGTCTGGAAAACAAGATCCTGAAGGCCTAATACAGATTGCAGTAAATAGGCTTGCTTGCCCCTTGGGTTTCTGTTGTATCCAAGTTTAAAAACCAGAATGTGTTTCAGCTTCTTAAAAGAGGAATAAAAATACCAACTCTAAGCTCTAGCCAAGTTTCCCCTTAATTATCTCCCAGACAGACAGTTATGGCTTAACCAAAGGGATAGGGTGGGGAAGCTGAGATTCTGGTCTCACATTTGCACTTTGTATATGACGTTATCATTCTTTGTAATGATGTTGAAGAGAGGGAAGTTAAGAATCTCAAACTTTTCATTAAATACTTATCAGAAAACCTCAAATTTGAGAATAAACTTCAGAGAGAGATATTGTGTAGGCATTAACCTTGAGAGGTCAGATGAAGAGATATATGCCTAGGTATTTGGAACTCCCTATATCATCTTTGCCTATGAACTATCTAGGATTACCTTTAGCCTTTACGAGGCAACCCTAGATCAATTACACTTTAAACTCTGGTTCTGGACATCAGATTATCCAAAAAACTTGCCTCTTGAATCCATAACAGTCCATAAGTATTTTGTTTAACATAACATTAAGTTGTGGTTATTTTAGGATTGAGATGAATGCATTGAATCAACTCTTCCTGTTTTTGTGATAGAATAACTACTAATCACGGTTGTGCTTCCATCTTCATTTAAAGGACATTTAGGGTTAGGTAATCCAATTTATGAACAAGCATAGCTCTCTCTATACATGATTGATGTAAGAGGCTGGTCCTTGTAAGAAGTTTAAAAGGGTACAAGTAAAAAAATAGTGAAGGAATAGAAACTATCAACAAAATGAAAGAGAAAGAGATTACACTTTTCAACTGATAAATTGAAGAGAAAATGAACAAAATCAGAGTAGTTCCTCTTTGACTCCCTTCAAATGACAGTGCAAAAGGGGATATAATGAGTATATAAAATATGCTAGGGCCAGAGATGATTGTTGTAATGGAAAAGATTTTCTGTTGGGATATTGTGTGTTGGCACACAGATCTTTTTTGTCCCTTGGAAAGCCATATCTTCTTTATTTGGGCCTGCCTTTAGATGTTAACCCTATTCCTTTTTTAAGACTTTCACTAAATGAGGCCCTTGCATGAGGAACGCTTTTTTTATGTCTGATAAGAAGTTACCTGATACCAATTTTACCACCTATTATTGGCAATTGGGCATTCAGGGTGTCCTTTTATCATTAGATTTGGAGTGAAAATTGAAATTTGTGGCTTGAATTCCAAATTTCCAATAATATGGTTCACATGAGTTATAATAGAGTAAATTACAAAAACATGCTTAAATTGAGCAGAAATTTAAAGGCCATTTATCAAGTGTTCTCCCAATGAATGATATTGCTAAGGCAAGAAAACAGAGTCAATAAAGAAGCAAGTTTTAGAAAAAAAGAAAACTTTGAAAGTCAAAATTCTATATTATTATGAAAATATTAAACACTCACCATACTTGCAGTCCATTCCATGAATGGAAATTCATTTCATCCTTGACGTCTATACCGATCATCATCAAGACTGCTATTCTCATACTTACTTTTCCCCCTTGACTGATACTCATCCTCATACCTGGTCCTCTTGGCATCTATCTGTCTATAAATCTCATGCCTTCCACGTCCATGTTCATAGTCTCTTCCATGTCTTTTGCCACTCTGTTCTTGTTCATCATCTCTTTTGTGCTTTCTGCTTTCATGCTTGTTTTCTCCATCCTCCTCATGCCTTTTGCTCCCACGCTCTTCCACATATCTATCATGCCTTCTGCTCCCATGCTCCTCGTCATCTCTCCCATGCCTTCTTCCCCCATGCTCTTCTTTCTCCCCCCTCTCATGCCTTCTGCCCCCATGCTTTTCTTCTTCATCCCTCTCACACTTTATGTTATTGTGTTCTTTCTCTTCACCCTTTCCAAGCCTTCTGCTTCCACGTTCTTCTTCATCCCTTCTGTAATCCCTATCTCCATGTTCATCATTGTATCGTCCTCCATTTGACCATCTCTCCCCTGATCTATTGCGACTGGAGTAATCTTCTCTCTTCTGATCATCCTTGCTCTTGTATGCTCTGTTATCCATATCAAATTCAACTTTACCATCTCTGAGCTGCTCCTGAGATTCTGCCTTTTTTCCCAAATTCCGGTTTCTTGACTTGAATTCTGGTTGGTCATCATGGTTCTCATCTTCCAATTTCCTTTTACCTCTCATGTCATGACTCCCGAAAATATCATCTCTGCTTGACTCATACTGTTTCCTTTTTTCCAATTTCCCCACCAGGTCCCTTCCACTCTCCTGATGACCATCATCATCACTACAATGACCACCCTTCTCTTTCCTTTCATCATTGTGCTGAATGGCTCTAGACCTGAATCCCCTTTCTTCTGCAGCAGCTCTTGGAGCATTTCTGTAACCTTTCTTAATCAGGTCATCCCCATAAACCCTCCTGGTCTTGTCTTCAATGGACTTCTTTCTAGCTCTCTCAGGGATGTGATCACTACCACTACCTGAATCACTGTTGCTGCTGCTGTAGTCAGAACCATCACTACTGATGCTCCCACTGTCAGTTGAGGAATCTGCCCCTCTTTTGGTTACCCTGTGTCTTCCCAGATGCTTTTTAGCATTCCTCCCACTGGTATCAGAATCTTCTTCATCAGTATCTTTCCTTTTACTTCCATGACGTTTCTCAATCTTTGCCTTTGAAAATTTTCTCGACCTATCAGGATCAGAATCATCATCCACTCTGTGCCCATGTCTGCTGTTTCCATATTTCTTATCATCAATTTTGATGTTCCTCCTATTATCTTTTGTGTTTAAGTCATCTCTGTCACTGTCTTCATTTCTATGGCTGTGATTCCTCTGTTTCTCTCTTTGATTTTTTCTTCTTCCTGTTTCGCTATCAGTATCAGAATCATGCCTTCCTCTTGTTTTCAATTGTTGGTTCCCTGTTCGGCTTTTGTGGTTCTGTAAATTGCTATCTGAAGATTCTGAACTAGATTCATCATCGGAATCATGTCGTCTACGAGTGTTAACAAGCTTTTCCATTTCCTTTTTGGCATTTCTTTGTCCAACATCACCATTGTCAGAATCAGAACCACTATCACGTCTTCTTCCCTTGCGATTCTTTGGACTCCTCTCCCCACTACTGCTATCAGAATAACTATCATGTCTTCTCCCTTTGTGAAACTTTGGACTCTTCTCCCCACTACTGCTATCAGAATCACTGTCATGGCTTCTTCCTTTGTGGTGCTTCTTTGGACTCTTCTCCCCACTACTGCTATCAGAATCACTATCCTGTTTTCTTCCTTTGTAGAGCTTCTTTGGACTCTTCTCCCTACTACTACTATCAGACTCATTTCCACTGCTATCTGAATCAGAATAATCATTATTGCAGTTTTTCTTTCTGTCATATTTCTTTTGGCGTCTTGAGTCATAATATTTATCCCTCCCACTCTCACTCTTCTTCATGCCCTCGTTTGCAACATCCTTTACAGCTTTGGTATCTTCCACTGTTTGTGTCTCCCTTCTATCTCTATCCTGTTCTGAACTCTTATATTTATCCCTCGGTTGTCCCTGGTCCTCCTTTACGTAAACATTTTTTCTTTCCTTCACTTTTTCATCATCACTCTTTTCAGACTCTGTTTCTACTATTTCACCCGGCTCTTTTTGTTCTTGAACTTTAGATGTGTCATCACCTCTAGTTATTCCAAGTGCAGCTCTTAATGTCTCCATCTGTCTCTCTTTCCTCGCAGCAATTTGGTGAGTTTGTGTGTCTGAAACCCTAGAAAAACAATCCAACAAACATAAATATAGGAATTTAAAGTGCACGTTCCAAAATCTAACAAAAAGAACAAGACACAATAACCCTCTGGTTTCAAACAGGAGAGTTTTCCAAGATACATAACATTTACCTTTTTAACATAAGTAAAAGAAAATTAAAATTTACCAGAGATACAGAAATTGGAGGGAAAAGAAAGTTGGTCAAGCTCAATAATTCCCTCAACTCTGAGTTAAATATATGCCTCCAGGGCACAGCCATAAAGAAATAGATTCATAAGATACCCCACCATAAAGCCAAAAGAAGAAGCAAATTAGCATACCCAGTTCTGGTTTCTACTGTCAATATTTCCAATAATATCATTTCAGAAAACAAAACCCTAAAATCTAATTGCAGATAACTAAGAACACCAAAGTTCCGTAACCATGCCATAGAAACGAGTGCCATGCTTTCAATTTTCTCCATATTAATGATATAAACAAGGGAAGGGTAAGGATCGTTACTTCTTCTCCATCTTCATGCTGCCTCCGGCATTATTGTTGTCCTCTGAAGCTGCAGCCACCTCCAATGCTTTCCTTGCCTCCTCAAGCTTCTCAGTGATCTCGTCATCGGTGTATCCCTGGTCGATCAGTTTATCTTCTAGAATCACAAGCTTCAGCTGTATCTGTCTTTTCCTGTCATGCTCGAGGATCTCTCTGTTCGGCTTCTTAACACCGGCAGTACCCTGACCAGCCTCGAATCCCTTAGTTTCAACCTTCCCAGTCCTGGGCTTTACGAAGAACTTGTTGCTTTGGATGTACCCATTCGTTCCCGACCCTCTTGGGGTCTGCAAGCCGATTCCGTTGTACATTGCTCCCTGGAAACAAAATAATAAATATCTGATTCAACAGAATTCTTTGCAAATTTTGAAATCATTTGCAGATTGTTAAAAGTTGAGGAAAAAGAAAGAAAGAACAGATTCAGTGAAATAGAATAACAATTTGTTCCAAAGGATAACAAATTAAGATGGGAAAAAACGAGTACAGATGAAGAAACAACGAAACCCTAAAAGAAAAAACTGCAAAGAAACCCTAGCATTAGAGGCAAATCCAATTAAGCAGGCATTTGGCAAGTCTTTTTTAAAAGATCTTCCAAAATCTCAAGACCTGAAAACACCAATGTGCTTTCCCAAATAGATCTTTAAAGACCAAAGACCATTTGGTTGTAATTTTTTCAAAATATCTTCTCAAAAGCTAAAAAGATTGAAGGACCATTTGGTAAACATACTTGTGCGCAAGGTTCAAAATATCGATACGTATCGGGCTGTATCAGCCGATATGTATCGCATCGGGAGCTTCCTGATACGCCCCTACAGAGGGTGTTTCAGGGTACCGACCGGTTCAGGGGGTGGACGGACCTTAAACCGACCCCTCTGAACCAGATTTGAAAAAAAACTAAAAAAAAATAAAAAACAGTAGCCGATATGCCTCTATCGGTGTATCGGGTGTATCAATATCGGGTGTGGGACCTAGTAATACATAAAAAACATGCAAATAGTACTTGTGGGTTCCACTTACATATTTACCTATGCAAAATATTAAAGTGAGCCTCACTCATACATTTTCCTATACAAGATATCAATGTAGTCCCCATCTGCACATTGGCATATGTGATCATCACCTATGGGCCCCACTCACACATTCACCTATACATGAAATTAGTTTAATATGAATACTTCTTTTGACAAATAGTTCAATACAAACAATCCAATACATGTTATATTACAAAAAAAGGGAAACTTATGGTTTGCTCCCCCTCAAAAAATTTATTGGTTTTTTGAATGTATTGTCCCAAACCCCCACCTATGCTACAATGCCCCATTGAATTGTGATCTATTCCCCCACTTGTCCTTGTTCCTAACTGTACATACTCATAAAATTTTCTGAGGTGGAGAAAAAAACACCAAAATTGAATAAAATGGTTATTCAATTGGAACCATATACCCAAAACTAATACATAAGTGTTGACAGCCAAGTACAGATGATCAGTGCTGAATCTAGAACACGGTCATTAGATTGAATCAACACTGCCCAAGAGGTCCCATAATCATGTTGCAGCCACTAAAGAACGATGAATGTTTTGTTTTGGTTTCTTCACGTAGCAGCTAATGATTGCAGAATGAAAGGGTGATGACTGATAACAGATCGTTTTAGGTCTTATTTTACTTCATTTGTATTGCATTCAAACAAAATAAGGTAAATTTTGAATTAAACAAAAATAATTCAGAATTTTCACCCAAATCATTTGTACTACCATAGTTTTTACAAAGCAATATATTTTGTAGGAGATGTTACAAATATCATAGGAGAATCATAAATAGTAGTATATCATATGCAAACAAAAGAAGGTTCAGGCCATACCACAAAGCAAAATGGTAGATTTCAGGTCTGGAAATTTTAACTCAGTAGCAAATTCATGATGGAATCACATGAGAATTTTCAGATTTGAAAGGTAATAATTCAAAAATAATTCAGAATTTACACCCAAATCATTTGTACTACCATAGTTTTACAAAGCAATAGATTTTGCAGGAGATGTTACAAATATCATAGGAGAAT